CAACCAGCCTGCCCCCCCCTGCCCCCCGCCCCCCCCCCCCCACACACACACCAAGATCTAAGGAGGATCTGATAAATCTAACTAAATGAGCCCTACATTTTTATGGGAGCCTATAAGAATACATCAAGGTAGATACAGAGACAGCCTTAAAGTAGTACTAGTAGCAGCCATAGGGGAGTTCGGGACTATTTACCAAAGGGAACAGCATTAATGATTTGAATTATTAGAGCATATACCCCCGCCCTCAATTAAGTAAAGGCTCTATAAAGAAAAATAAGTGTGCACTGCTTTCCAGGAATCCTGATAGTTAGCACATCAGAAACACAACATTAACATGCTTTATTCCAATGATGCAGGCCACAAAGCCTGAACACATCCTGCTAGTGCCCAAAGGACTGCATGTTGCTTTCTGCAGGAGCGCTTTCTCTGCTGATGCAGTGGGGCTTTACCTTGGTGCCATTACCCTGCATCATACTGCAATAATTAATGCCCATCAAAAATAATAATAATAACAGAAAATAGAGTGACTGCAGATAAGGAACGCAGGCAAGGGCACAGAGTATGTAAGGGTAGTGGAAAAGAAAGAGTATGTAAACTGCTTAACTCATTCTTCAGATGATGGTTGTGAAAACATTCGTGATGGATTATTTCCTGCCACGTCAGCCTTTTAGGGGGTTACCGGGCAGGCTGTTAGTTGTTTTGTTTTGTTTTAAACAGAGTAAGAATTACATGTTAAATCTATGGCTCCCTCTCCCAACCCTGGTTTTTAATTATAAAAAGGTGGATGCATTATTTTTAATCTGATTATATTTTCAAACACCAGGGTTCTTTCCATCTGAAGCCACCTCTTCATTGAGTGGGGAGTAATGAACAAGCTTCGCTTGAACCGCTATTGCCTGGAGTGGAGTCAGGTCTGGATGACTTAGGTCTTCCTGTGGAAAGTCCTCAGTTACGGACTAGGAAGCACTGTTGACCACGTAAGCATGTGTGCCCCACCCTGGGTTACAAGGCAGGTCATCAAGCTCCAATCTACAAGGGGTGCTAAGACAGGACAAGCCATTTCCCAGGATCAAGAAAATCATTTTCAGCAGAACACTGCTCAGGGAGGGTTCTCCATGTTGTTAGAAGGAACACTCCAATATGCCATTCATTCTCCACTCCCTAAAGATAATTTGAAAAGAATAGCTGGTATCTAAATTGCTAAACTGCCCTCTAAGGAAACCCTGGTTTTTCTCGGAGTTTTGTTGATTTTCTTCCCTCCAGACTAGGATGCAAACCCAGGCTTAAGGCTGAATCGCTGGAGAGGTTAGAAGTGCTCAACCTCACTTTCTGAATAAATGTGGAACACGTGGCTTAAAGAGGAATCAAATTATTAATCAGTCCTGGGTCTTCATTTCTGTTGGTTTGACTTTGTCCACTCTACTATAGTTTTACCCTCTGGAAAAGTGGCTTAGGAACACAGGCTCTCTTGATCTAGTGCTTTCTGCTCATTAAACTAGATGCTGAGAGCCAGGACTGCAGGCCCTCAGAGTATAACAAAGCTATTAACCACTTTTTGTGAGCCAAATAAAATTGTCAGACCAGATTTTTAGATAGGATGCATTTAACAGGAAAGGATATAGGATGTGATACTGGGCCCATCAGAATTTCTGCTTCAGGTGTTCAAGTCTGCATAGCAGAAAATACGTAGATTTTGTGGAATGCATTCCACGAGATGAGCAGCCCTCAAGGTGGAGAATAACATTAGTCCTCAATAGTGCCATGTTTTACAATAGGAATTAATTAAGCAGTAAACCGTGACAGGACATGCATCATGGTATCATAATCACAAGCCTCAGCTGCATTACAAGGCAAAAGGCCAAAGACTGAGAGCTTTCAACCAGCCTGGGAATGCAATTAGGGTGAAATGCTGTGTGCCCTGGAGTGCCTTTATGCCAGGTTAAAAATTCATAGATATTACTCTCTCCCTCTAGAATACTAAAATAATCCACTTGGATGGAATTCTCAAGTAAGCCACCTTCCCTCACAATTCTTTCAAAGATCAAAATAAAGGACAACATTAAATTGGTAATGTCAATGACACCCCAAAGTAAGACCCTGCCCAGTATCCCTGACTCACTGACTGGGCTTTCTTTGTGAAGGTGTCCCAACGCTGCCCAAACATCTGTCTCACCCTCCTATGAGACTCACTATTTGGGCGCAACTTGAATATTAATAGCTTTATTGGACAATTGTTCTACAGTTGTTCAGAGTATATGTTTGGGAAGGGATGGGAAGGTCAGCTAATAGATTTAACATCAGCACTCAGTCAGTTAGCCCCTAATAATAGGTATGGCAAGCAGAAGTAAAACAATTTTCAGAAATACAAAAGAAAGCAAAAGAAAAATACTAGCAAAGTACTAGACTATGACTTAAGGTAAGCCACTTAAATCCCGCTCCCCTACCTATACTCACTGAAAAGGAAACACAAGAAATGCAACTTATTTGCAACTAATAATCATAGGCCTATAGTCTTTTATTCACATGTAAAATTCTAAAAGGGTTAAAAGCTTGCAGACCAATCAGTAAACTTGGCAAGTTTGAGAGTATGTATTTATAGATTTAAACAAAAATGTACACAGAATATAAATGTGGCCATCAGCCATTAAACATTTTTTTTAAAAAAATGAACCACACACAGCTGGGGTAGATTAAGTACTAACTTTAAATCATTTGAAAGTAGTAAAGAAAAAAATTCAAACAGTGAAACAATCTACAAACCCGCTTTGAAATTTAGAATGCACAGCCTTCTCTTTGGGTGTTAAAGAAAAATTATTTTACCAATAGCTACTGTTAATGCAATAGAGAGGCATGTACTGTGACTGTATGAAAACTAAAAACCACCCTTCTTATCTTCTCAAAACATCAAATTGTACTAATGGAAATTTTTCCACACTACAAGTATTCCACAGCTGAGTTCATAATAATAGAATGTGCGGTATACAAGATAAGGGAAATGGAGAAAATATTTATTTTCCTTAGAATAGCATTGGCAAAAGGTTACTAAATTGAATCACAAATGTTTACAACACTTGACTCAAATTCTTATCACTGTTTTCCCATGAAACCAGAAGCCTGGCCCCAAAGGGTCTGCATTCCTATTGTTCCTGTCCCTCAGCACACATTATATCATCAGCCAGCAGAGGGATCACTACATTCCAGTATCACCTCCAAAAGTGCTCGGTTCTCATCATCCGCAGCACCAGGGGAGGGAGATAAGCACCAGAGTTCCAGAATAGACTTCCAGGTGGCCTTGGCAATGAGAACCTGCTCCCAATGCTTCTACAGACAGCATTTGCCCAGGTTCTGATGATGTGGGGCTGCAGTGGTCTCCATATGCTATCACATCACCCCAGGACAAACCGGGCCTTGAGGTTTCTGAAAAGGGTGTGCTAAAAAAAAAGCATTTCTCACCTGTTGCAGAATGTGTCTTTCCCTCAGTGTCATTAACCTTCTGTGAAGTTCTACCAGTTCATCTAGGTATGCCTGAAAGAGAAGAGTATCCCCCAAAAGAACAAGCCCTTTAAGAAACAGTTCAAAAGAAATAAGTGAAAACATAAGCAACAGTTGGAGGGTCTTCATTCTCCCACTCTACCCCAGGCTGCGGGGAATCAGTGCCCAAACACTTCTGCAGACCAAGACTCTCCTGGCCTGATCATTACCTTTACCAAGCCAGCCTTTAAAAAAAAGGGTAGGGGTGGAGGGAATTCTTGCATTTATTTGCTTTCAACAAAATTCAAGTGAGTAGACTCACCTCCCCACAACAATCCTCTACAAAGAGTAGGGAAATTCAATGCTAAATTGTGAGTTTGAACATGTTAAGACAGGCTACTTTTACTTTTTTATTCTTTAATCTCAGAAGGTTTTTGACTAAGAGAAAAAAGTCTAAGTTTGAACGTGGAAGTATAAATGCACATTACCAATTATGTCAGGGCAAATTCTTTAAAAAAAAACCCCAAAACCAAACATTGCTAGTAAACGATGCCAACAAGTGACAGAACAGAAGAATATCTTATGAAAAACAAATCACTATCCAAACTAGCATCTTGTTTGTGAAGAGCTCCTTTGAAAGGGCAGAGGGACACCTTTCTTTCCACGTGCTTAGACTCATGTGTCTTTGTTAGCCTAACTGCATGGGTGTCCCCACCACCATCTGCAATAAAGGCAAAGGAAAGATTCACAAAGCATTAAAGAGCTCTGCATTGACTCGGAAAAGCATGGGGCCCTGCCCATTCCAGGTGACTTAACCCCCACCAGGTCTTGCAGTCAGATTTCAGATGCATGATGCATACTTTAGGAAAGAATACTGTACTAGGATCAGATGTCTTGCTCACTTACATATGAGATTCCCTAACCCACCTACCTCTCCCACAGTTCTCTTACTTCCCAATTCAATGCACAGGAAATCACTTGGCAATGTAGGCATCATGGCAAATAGGAGCATAAAGCCAAGCTTAATATAATACTGAAGGTATAAGCAAGACATGGAAAACTAACTACAAAGCCCTCCAATGAAGTACTTATCATTTGGGAATCTTGGGTACTTCTGATGAAAATGGAGTGAGAAGCAGCAAGGATGATCAAGGAGAACACAAAGAAGTAGAAGACTTGACAGTGCCGCAACAGTCACAGTAATGGACTGAAAGCCTACCTTGTCACATTCACCGTTCTTTATTTGCTTATCTGATTTGCTTTGCTTTATTGGACTTTTCACTTCAAGAATCTAGGGATCAAAGAGAGCACTGTATTAAATTTTACTTCAAGCACTTCTTAGCTAACCCACCACATAAACAAAGGCACTCACTGAATGAAAAGTACAACATCACTTTCCAAATAGTATTTCTTCTCTATACATTTTCTTTCTTCTGTTCTAATTTTACATTTTCTGGGAAAATAAATTACTTGTATCTGAAATGCTGAGTCAGAGCAATAGAACTTAAAAAAAAGTTGACAATAAGGAAATTGATCTACCCTTCCAAGGCTGCTTCTCTTTTGCGACAACACTCTCACACATATGTACAACAGCTGAGTTGTACTGAGATTACAGTCCCCTCTGGCAAGAATTTTTTCCTATCCATTCTGCTGTTTCAGCATGACTACCAATGCTCACTACACTAGGGAAGATAAAAACAAACACTCAAATGCCCTTTTTAGTACCTGCTTTTAGATTCCAAGTTATTCATATCCACTAAATTGATGCAGCTTTGGAAATGAAGATGGTCTTCAGTTACACCGGTTGATCCCAATTTGGGATCCTCCAACTCAAGAAATAAAGAGACAGGACTGTCTTCTGTGTTTCAAGAAATGATGTTTACCCGTGGCAAAACACCAAGTGCCTTTCCTTTAATCTGGACTGATTACAACTTAAGTTATGAATAGTAGTTCTGCATACTGTTCAGAAGCTTTGGTGGGGAGCTATGTTTCCAATTATTGAAAAGGAGAAACAAATTATTATTTAATAAATGTAGCTTATTTATTAGACAGGATCTTCAAAATTGAGGATTATGAGGGAAATACTTTAAAACGGCCTTCTTGAAAAGGCCAAGAACCACTAGATTTATTAATGATGAGTGTTTACAAAAATGTATAAATATAAAAAGCAAAATCATTTGTCCTTTTCATTATAACTCATTACGAGTGAGTTTTTATAATAGGAGACTAATATTAAGAAAGAAAAAGCCAAATAAAGGACTATTTTAAGAAGTTGCATATTCCTACTATTCTTCTCCTTACCCACTATCTGTCCAAACTCAGTCACTGTTCTGTTCACAGGTCTACCATGTTCCATAACATAAGATTTTAAGAATGAGTCCACTTTTGATTTGTAGAAGTAAGAGTACTGATTAGGCTCAGAAACCTAGCCCTGTCATTTAACATTTGGGGGCCTCAAAAAATGAAATGAGAGAGATGAACAAGAAAGATAATATCCAGATTCCCACTCGGCTTTAACATTTGTAATATTGATAAACATTGTTCTCGTTGAGGATAAGGCCAGGACATTCTGGAAAAGACCAACTACTCCTAAACAGTATATCTTTCTTTGTATTGAGAATGCACAGGTAAGAAGTATGCTTCTAACAGTTTTTCCAGAGAATTAATTTATTTCTTCATTTTTAACATTAAGATAACCAAATGACCAATTTGACCAGGCTAACTGAAAATACAATACTTTTGGTAACACAAGGAAATTACTTAATAGCAGAGGCAAGACAATCGTTTTTAACATGCTCCACTGTAAAGGAAACCAAACACTTCACTGTGTTCAGAATTTCCTCCTCTCTATTGTTGTTGGAAATGAGACCTCAAGGGGAAAATCAGTGCTCAGAGACCTAGGAGTAAGTAGGTCAGTAGATGGCACTCCTCGCCAACTCAGATGCTGGGCTGGGCAACGCAGACACTATCCACTGAGATTTCAGGCAAGAGAAAAAAACAGTGCCTGCCTACTTGCCTTGTGCAGGAGAGAACTGAATTTTGTTCCCATCATATCCATCTCCTCCCACAATCCCCTCCCCCAACTTGCTGCACTCCGGGTGTCGAAAGTGACTGAAGACACTATATTTGCAATGGAACTGTGCTTAACTAGGTTTAGAGAGTTCTGCCACCTTCTCTTCAAAGCAGAAAATAGACAGAACATTTGGGCGCTTAAGTCCCACCCCACACATTCCGTAAGTGCTACAGCACAGAAGGCCAAAATACATTGAAATCCTAGTTTCTTTCTTCTGAAGCTGCAGTGGCAGGAACAAAAGCTCCGGGTGTCAGTGACCCGCCTCAAGTTACTGAGTGGCTGCCCAGAGAGGACTCAGTTAATCTTCCTTCTTTGATCTCTCCCTGCTCCAAAATAAACAGCTTTGTCAAAACCTCATTCTGAGAGAGCTGAGCCGTGCTGAAGACAATTGTTTTATTTATGATCATTTCTTATCTTTAGGGAAACGACTCCTGAATATAAAAGTACAACACCTTGTCTTCCGCAGGCTTACTGCAAACCAGTTGAACTGGATGGACTCTTTTTAATTTCATTCAACATGCCTTGAAGGCTGGAAGGTGATTTATGATATTCTGAATATTAACTCGAGTCCAATGGATCACTTCCTTCCTTCAAGTCCTCTCACCTCTCCCTCTCTGCCATACTTTTGACTAAAGAAAATCTGGCGTTTTGTTTTTGTTTGAAATTCACATAAGGGAGGTTTGGGGTGAAAAAATCATCTCTGGTTAAAATGGTGCAACACTCTATTATTTTTTATTAAGCGATACTGAAAGAAACAGCCACCCAAGCTGCCTTGATGCACCATTTATAGATATCGTAATCTCTGAAAACAGAAGAATGGCGAGTAGTGGCACTTCTATATTTAATTTGAGTATACAGTTTAAGAATCAAATTTTCAAGATTATGTTTTTTGGTATCTCTTTGTGAGGAATGACAACTCAATTATTCAGCAGACGGATTAACACTGATAGATCTTTCATGTTAATAATCATTAGTAGCTCTGAACAATATTCAGGTTAATTACTTGCTTTGTTGACATGTGGTGCTCTCTCTCTGTTCACTTTTTTTCAGTAGTTAGAATATGTTTGACTCTAATACTTCTCTTCCCTAGTCCCTGGAATATTTGAGAAAAGGCAACAGGCAGTTTAACTTTGCCTGGTACTTTACAGAAGCTTAAGAAATCATTTTCAATTTGCAGATAGAGAACAGACAAGGGGTACGGAAGAGGAAACTCAGTCTTCCCATTTCAGAGTTGGGCCTTCCCGGTATGTTTTTATCTATTTTATTTGATGTAAAATTTCAGATTCTCCTCTTTCATGGACACACACATATTCAAAGACTAAAAACACATTCTATAGTGAAATTTAAGAGACTTTTAGGTTTTTAAGAAATTTTTACTCTCTCACTCCATTAGCATGGAGAACTAAGAAATACTAGCAATTTTTTTGAGTCCTAGAACACTGCCTTAAAGGGATAGCCTCACACTTGACCCAGTGCAGGTGATTAAAGGGGTTAAGGAACCAGGACTAAACAAAGTTTTAAAAAACCTTTTCTTGCTCTCGGCTCCAAGACATAGCTCCAAGGAGGTAAGCACTCCTGTGATACATACGTTTCCTTCCTGTCCCAGACTACCTAAAAGTATAAGCATATGGACTTTCTTATTATGCTTATAGGTGCATGGAGAAAGTGACATAGAACTGAGTATTCATGGCAGATTAATGGTTCACACGTGTGAAGCAACATTTGTCAAGTAAACATGCCAAGGAACCAGTGGTATGCCATTTTATCAGATAAGTAATTTTTACCATCTTCAGAGAGATGATACTAATTGTCTTTGCTTTTGTTTTGCCAGACAGGTTAAAAAAAAAAAAACAGTCTGACAAAAAATCTAAACCTTTCCGTAAAGCCGGGGTCCAGCTCAAAACTGCCCATTCACAAAGGGTTTCAGGGCAGGTATTGGGTTTGAAGGGCAAAACAGGGGTTTCTTGAGCTGCACTGACTCAGCAAGCCTGGTCTCAACCATGCTTGGGGGAGATGCTGATGGAGGTGCATGAGGGGCACAAAAGCACACCCTAACATCCTGCACTCCTGGCACCGCCACTGCTGCAGCCCATGAAGTGTCCCAATTCTGATACACGACCCACTGGAAGCAGAAATCAAGCCGAAATAGGTTTAAAGTGGATATAAAAATACAGTCAAGGTCCTAATTCTGTTCTTTTGCCGGCTCTTACTGAAGCAAAAATTTACAGAATGATCCCAGGTTATTTAGTTAGCCAACCCAGTGTTCTCCTCAACTGAATGGTCACGGTGTTATGTCCTTCCTCTGTTTACTTTCCACAAAAATGCCTGACCTGTGGTGGTGGACCGCCACGCCAGAAGTGAGAGAAGGCTGAGCCATGGGCACAGCTGTCCCTGGAGGTGGGGAGGAGCAGGGACAGCAAGGAGCCAGGATGGGAAATACGAAGTTAACAACTCAGTGAACAACCCATCTGCAACAGATGACAAGGCTGGGCTTTCTTTCATTCACATGTAGGACACAAAGAAACTGCAGGCGAACTGTAACTGGTCCAGTAAAGAGCACTGGTATCATTCCTACTTAACAATGAAGGATTTAAGTTGTAAATAAACTTAATACAAGAGCAATTTTAAATTTTAAGAGATCGACGCTCATGCTTTACACAATATGTAAATAAAAAGTCTTCAGCTATAAAATTACATTTTCCAAGTAAAACAAAGATCACAAATTCAAGGGCAAGACTATTTAAAATTGTAGGACACCTGTAAAACAGAGTTAATTTTTAAAAAGCACAGTTCTTTAATTTTCAAGTTAATATACAGCAACTTGAATTAAGCAATTACTGTGAGGTCACAGGAAATCTGTCTAAACAAAAAGATAAGAATAACTTACGGTAATGAGAATATCAACTCACTGCACAATGAGGCTTTTACAATATTCATGACACTTGAAAACAGTTTATTTTAGTAAGTAATGAAAATATCCCAGTCTTATTCATTTGTTTAACAAAAGCTCTTCATCACAGCCTTTAAAGTTCTGCCTAGACCTTATCCAAATAACTATATTCTGAGTTGACTGTCAAATTAATAAGCTTTCCTTTAACTTGATTTATAACAATGATAATGACCTTTATTTTCTCTGCATTTTATTAATTATTCCTTATAATCCCAAGTGATAATCCTTCTTCTTGGATGAGAAAACTGAGGCAGAGCACCTATAATAATAAACATCTACCATCACTGGAGTGCCAAGTAGGTGCTGTGCACTGCCTCATGCTCTTCTCATGTATTATTTATCATCCTCCCGATAACCTGCAAGGTAGGTGTTAATGTCATTTACAGATAAGGAAGCCGAGGATCACAAGTTAAAAGTTAACTTCCCACTAGTAAATTACCAGTAGTAAAGCAAAGAACCAGGCTTTATATCAGCACCAAAGGTCATATTCTTTCTAGTTAAGTCAGCTACTTACTGCTGAAGGCTAAAATATATAGAAATCAGGAGTAAATGGGCAATACTTTTTGTCATCATTCCTTCCTGCACCTGCTTAATTAACCCATCCAATGGAACATACTCATCTTCTCATGACAACAGACGTTCTTTTCCTATATGTGTTTATTCCTAAGGATGTGGCTTCCCATTTATTTGGCATCAAGAGGGACTTTGTTTAAAATTCAGAGGCAAAAAGTTTTGTGTTCCCTATAAAAACAATTACACCTAGTTATGCAGCTTTAAAAAGTGCAAACCCCACTATTTACCTGGTTGTTGTTGGTTTTTAATAAGGGTGGTGGAGGTTCATGATGTAGGGGTGAAGAAGCAGAACTGCTTTCACTATCGCTGCCATCACTTAAGCTAACTCTGAAAAGAAACAGAGAAAGAAGTTGTATGCATCACTGTAAACAGACAATTCTTGAAATATCTGTGGAATAGGCATGGAAAGCAAGGATTCCAAACACTAACCATTGAAAAGTTTGTTTAAACAACATCTAACAAGCACTTACTTTGTATCGGCAACTGTGTTAAGTGCTTGATCTGCCATTTCTCTTTTTATGATCCCCTATTTCACAGATGAGTAAATTGAGACTTAGACTGGGTCTCTCACCTAGGGTCACAGAGGTAAAAGTGGTGGCTCTAGAATGCAAACCCAAGCAATGTCACTCAAAGCTAGTGCTCAGCCACTATACTTTACTGGTCTCATTTATCCATTTATTTCCCTTTCCCAGCTCCACCTACCCACTATCATCAAGCACACCACTCAAGCTTACAGAAGATCAACAAAATCAGAGTTCATACATTACTACATTTATTTTCCTTTCCCTTTGCCTCTTTGCTATGGATGGAAAAGTTACAAACAGAGCTAGAATAGTCTGTGGGAGTGGAGGCAACTACTCAGAAGAATATAGCCTACAGCCCTGCACCACTGACAGCTCAGAGTGACATCTAAGGCAGAGATAGGTGAAGCCCCACATGCTGGAACCACCAATAATCACCTCCATCGTGTCTCTGTTCAAGTCTGCCTCTAGTTCTGAACACTGGTACAATTAACTGAATACACAAAACAAAGACACAATGTGTTTAGGACAACTGCTTTAGAAAAATAGGATGAGATCTTCAACAACTAAAGACAATAAAAATACACCTCGTCCTCTACTTTTTCTTTTTCAGAATAAAATGGAATTTTCTTTTAGCCAGGGTAGGAGATATTTCTTTATTCTACTCTGCTGAATGCGAGTCCTCCGTCAGAAATGTCCTTCAGTATTTGCTTCCTTTCTCCAGTAATATAGTAACCTAATATAAAGTTCTTCTCAGAAACAGAAAATGCTTTAGAAATCCGAATAGTTCTTTCACTCTGAATAGGCAATCACATTCTAGCTCTATTATATATTCAGACAGACAAGATACAAGATAAGAAATGAAAATAATACACTGGGATATTCCTTTAGCAAAAACTGATGGAACTTGTTTTTCTTAACTAAATTACATTAATGAAGTGTTCAGTTGAAACGCTGCTTTAAAATGCTTCTTGACTGAAGTGGAAGGCTGAGTATTTAAACTGATTAAACAGTTGAGACTTCACAAGTGCAGTGAAGATCAAATGTATACTGGCACTGCCATGAGAACAGCACATGTCAGGTGGGGAAAAGAAAAACGTTCCCAATAATGCATAGCCACATCAGACATCTCACAAATATGTATGATCTCACCCACATGGACTCGGGATGGGACAGTATGTGGTGGGCAACAGCTAATCAGAATATCCAGATCTTCTATATAACAATTTGGGAGATTGTCTAAATAGGTCATGTAATTTTCATCAGCTAAATTTGAGAGCAGCCAGTGGTTAGGATTTGGGTTGTTAAAAGTAAATTCCTTAACTCAAAGTTTCAGTCCCTTTAGGTCTTTATGCACTACCAGTTTCCTTTTTGTCAGTTGTAGGACTTCTAAAGCGAAATGTTTTAAGACCAAGGCTATAAGGTTCCTCATTTTCTCCTGTTTAAAACAAATATAGACAAGTGAGTTTAGGAAACAAGGTGGAGAGAGATGTGTTGAGTATGGCCCTAAGGAACAGTCATTAAGAGATTTGACATATCCTAAAAAGGCTCTTCTTAAAGGACACTAAGGCATTGCCAAATAGGAAGCATATGGTCTGTCTAGTCTGGGTGAAAACTGCATTCTTTTCAGGAATTTTAGGACCTTCTACACAGTAATTAATAATGGGAAAAGATTCAATATATTATAAGTGTAATTGGATTTTAAGTTCAAGTAGATTCACATTTTTCTACTCAAAACACATTAAAGTAAGCATGCCTATTTGTTTTCCTCATGATAAACAAAATCCTCAAGGCAATTTCAAGTTGACTATTAATTATAAGTGACATGAATTACCATCTTATAATGTGGAATTATGCCTCACAGCATTAAAGCTACTTAAGGAACCTAATTGTCAGCACACTTAAAAGGAATTTATTTTCTGGAAAACACACACAGGTGATCCTAGCTTTAATTAGGTCACACACATAATTCACTGGAGCCAATTATGTATTTCTAACTACAAACAGCAAACACATTTCTTCAAATTCTGAGACTACCTCCGGCAATGGATCTACACAAACTCTTCAAATGAAAACAGACGATTTCAGCAGTCAATTCTGCCACTTGGCATATCCTTTCAAGAACAAGAACTTCTAATATGACTTTTTCCTATAAATGTTTTAGAGGGAAAACCTCTCCTTTCTGAGAAAAGCAGAAAGAGTGCCCTGTAGAGGTGAGTGTAAGCACACCAAGGTGTCTCCGCAGCAAACGAATGTGCCCATTGACTGCTACTGTTTTTGACATTTCACACCTTTGCTGTGATTATACTAGCAGGTGTAGTGAAAAGGTATGACTCAACTGCAGGGAACCTCTTTCTGTCTGAGACACTCACCTGCGACTTCGGCTACCTCCTCTATTTACAGGTCTCTCCATTTCAGAGTCATTGTCATTATCCTCTCCTTCATCCGATTCCTCCTCATTGTCATCAGAATGCAGATCTTTCATTATAGACCTTAAAGGACCTGAGTAATGACAAGTGAACCACAGGCAATCAAACATACTACTTTAAACATGCTTAGCCATATCAGACACACAGAAATGCTTACCAGCACTGAACGCCAGTTAAAAATAATCATTATCATATATATTTATACAATTTATAAGACAAATTTGGTACAGTTTCTAGAGTGAAACCTCTGCCAAAACACTACTGTTTTCATAAGAGATTTCCAAAAATGTTCATTAAAGAATCTCTATTTCCTAGGATTCTTTCCTGTATATTTTTCTTCCCTAAGAAAAATTATACCTAAAAAGAAAGAGAAAGATCTATTAGTAGAATTGAATGTTTTGTTAGTTAGGTTAATCCATGTATTGAAAAATTGAGATTAATAAATTACTGTGGTTGTAACTTGTTCTGGGCAATGCAGCTTTTGTGTGGTAGTTTTTGATCTATTAAGGTTTAGCTGTTTTAGCTGTTCCTTTTATTTCAAGGTCAATTTCAGATCAAGCAAGCATTTCAGTTAAGTTCAGATCATAAAGTATTTCAATTCCATAGTGTAATGTCCTATTTCTGATCTTCATATTGATCTTGGACACAAGGTCTTCTTGCAACAATTTTATGCAGCCAATTTTCATTTTACTTTTTAAGAAGTTCCTGGCAAAATACCAGCATATATTAACATAAATAAGACCATGTAATAAATCAGGTACCCAGAAAATTCAAGACGGTATCCAGTATTAAATGGGAGGGGGGAAAAAAATCAAGCCATAACTAATTTTATTCCAGGACAGGTCAAAACTGAGAACACACATGCATACAAAAACTCATTAGTGTGGCTTATTTTCACTTCGCTATTCTGTGATGAAAAGAAGATAGATATTTTTAATCTTAACAGAAGAAAGAGATTGTAAAGGCAATCAAGAAACTCAGAGAGGCACTTTCATTCTGGATTAGACAATTCCTAAAGTCTAATCTATGATAGGAATGTCTGACCCATCACTAACTCAGTTCTTCCTTTTTGTCTTTTTTCGTGTCTGGCAACGGATCGCAACCCTCAGTGTCGCACCCGTACCGGACCGGGACCGGCTACGGGAT